CCTAAACACTAATTCAGTCAATCTTTCATGTGCCAACTTCTTGCACACCAGTGGTTCTAACACTGGGCACTCATCAAACCTAGGGCACCAGGCAGTTCCTATCAACCTCATAGGATCGTCCATCACAGAACTAACCTTCTTATTTGCACCTACTAAACTTCCACTGACACTGTTCAAATTACTACTTGTATTTGAATTAGCGGTAGCTTTATCACCACCACTGTTTTGCATTATTGTGCTATTAGATGCACCACTACCTCTCATAGTGAGGCTAAAGTTCCTTTTATGATTATCACCTTTACGTTCACCAAAACCAAGGCCTGCTAACCTTTGTGTCAATGAATTTACAGTTGACACTGCTGTATTTGTACTCATGCTATTATTACTACTTTCATTATTACCACTCGCGTTTTCCTTGCAATTAACATTATTCAAATTATTATGTTTAGAATTGTTCAAGTGATGATTCGTTGTTGAACCATTTCCATTGTTGACTGTTCCAGATGTAGGAAGAATACTAGAACCTGCTGCAGATGGCCTTTGTTTCGCACACATTGGTTGTCTCAATACATCTTCTGTGATATCCCACAAACACAATTGAGTATCCTGTGATACACTGCCTAACCTATAGCATGTACCACCTGACACTCTTAATTCTGAACCACAAGAGTTTCTGTTTGAATGAATTCCTTGTGAGATCGTAGACAAACGATTGGACTTCTCATGGAAATGATTATGGTTATTATGTGGTAATGTTTCATCATCTGAACCACTGAAGTCAGGATCATGATCTCCATAAGATGTAGTATAAGGATCAAAGGCTACTACGCTTACCCAACTATGATGGCCCTGACCCCGGGCTACCACTCTCTTCTCATGAAAGCTCCAAATTGTCACAAGATCATCTTCACCACCCACAACAACATATCTTCCATCTGGAGACCAACATACACACAAAAATCCACCAAAATAACTTCTAGCTGAACCCACTAACTCCATTGTATTATATTGAAATACTCTTAGGAACCCATCTTGGGAAACAACTGCTAAGTTTGAGCCACAGGGGCTAAAGGCAAATTCATTTATACAACATCCTTCTGCACCTATTACCCATCTATATAAAGGGTTTCTTGTGGATTTTGTTTTACAAGTATATATGGCATAACCATCGCCTGACTTAAAAGACTGATAGTGAGGGGCTGTTGTACCACACAAAAGTTCTTCATTATACAAATATAATTGCCCAGAACTATGTGACACCAAGAAGAGATTGTTCGATCCAGGAACCCATTTTATACATGTCACTTTACTTTTATCTATCAATCTCTGAAACATTAAGAAACATACATTCCTTTTATTCAATAAATAATTAATATACTTATAAAAAATATTTACATTTCAAAAAGTATCATAACCATCATTAACCAGTGTAAGTTAGCAAAAAATTATATAATTAATGATTAAGTTTATTTAGTTGAATACTAGTGTATTCTATCTAAATGAAATTTACTAAAATTAGATGTTATATATGTATAATGGTATTAAATATCAAATACATGCTATAAAAAAGGTGCAATACAGAATATTATGAACTATTACATTGACTAAAATCTTTGTTTATCAATATTCAACAAAATTATATCACATTTATATCACAAAGATTGGAAAAAGTGCTAACAAGTTTTGTGTATATTATTTAAATTTATCATTTTATGATACTAATCATAGTATATAAAATATTATATTATTCAATGTTTATACAACGTATAAACTTATATTTAATAAACATATTCCCACAATTTTGGATTGTACCAGGAATATTTTACAATCTCCTTACATATTCAAAAAATTTAATTCAAAGTATATATCATCTTGACATAATTTATCATTTTTGACGTAATAAGTTACATACATCTTCATTATATAATTTGCTGAGTTCTTTTTTTATTGGATCTATTAGTTGAATTTGTCCTGTAGAGAAACCAACTAATAATGGTGCACTATCTGCAGTTGCTGTTGTTTGATTGAAATTATGGCAAGTTGGATTAGTTCCCTTATATAACTTTTTGTCCACTGGTTTATTTAAGTCCACAGCCTGAAACATTTTCATTTAACTTTAACTTATTGTAAGTTTTATAAAGTGTTAAGACTTATAAATGTAAATTTATAAATTTTAAGAATGTATTGGAATTAATACAATTTCTTTATTAATGGTCCATATATATTCTTTCAAAATAAGAAATTTTTATTAGTTATAATTGTTTATTAAATATAAAATTTTGTCATAACTAGTATTCCAAAAACAATAATAAAGATATTTCCCCCAATGACTTGCATCAGATTTGTATCTACCATTAATTATAAATTTCCTGGATATGTTGTTATTTTGTCATTTAATATATATTGTGTATTAATAAAAAGTTAAAGGTTTAACCAATTAAGATTAGATGACATTTATATTATAATTTAAATTAAATCAGGCAGACAAGTTATCAATATAAATAAAACAATAAATGTATCTAATATTAAAGCAATCATTTTACAAGGAATAAGTTTGATAAATGTAATTTTACATGCAGTAACATACAAAGTAAGAGGATTCTCTATGTTAGGTGTGGTGATAGTGCAAAGATGGAGTCTTGGTATGCGTTTTCGAGGTTAGGTTTCAATAAATCCATGCTCAATTAAATATAAATATAATAACAAACGTATTTATTATGAAAAGAGTTAAAGTTACCTTTTTAACTCCACGATAAACATAAACATAGAGCTCCTTGCCAAAATTGAAACACATTCGGTCACCAAGTCCTTGCGTACTCGTAGGATCCGCTGGGTCCGGTAAAGTTACGAAAGACACCCTAACGGATGCGCTTCCTTGACTATTCGTGTAACCGACCCTATTTGGCCTTGAATACTCCGACAAAGTCATTAGCTTATAAGTTCCTTCCCGCGTGACAAACTGTGTTTTCAAGTCCTCCTTCCCTCCACCATCCAACTGCACAGCCATCTTACCACCAGCGGTGCGACGGAGGAGCTCATCAGACACGAAAAAACCTTCGTTGGTTTCTGCCTTTCTACACGTCCGTCGCTAATTCCTTATCCGAAAGCTTTTAAAAACTGTCAAATACCAACTGGGCAGTGGCTTGTATTAAAAAACTTCCAAATAATAACAGCTTACCGGTTCTACATGCAACCGCTGCTAAGGGCGCCCCAAGTTCTATATTGAAACTGCCCGTCGTGCATTTACGATCCGTAGCTCATACTCTCAACCTCGTATGGGATAACTCTGTCCCCACCTCACTCGTAATATTTCTTCTGCTTTCATACGATAAGCAATGTAACGTAAAAATGAGTTATTGAATTCTTTAATAAATAATTTGATAAGGAAATTTTCAATATTCAATATAATAATCATTGAGATATTTGAATTAATTAAATATAAAATTAATGAAAAAAGATATATTTTAATGTGTTCTGTAAAGAATATTGTTAATATATCTATGAGTATTAATCTAGTATTTTCAATACATTTCTAATCAGACTACCAGAATGATAGAATAATACGAAGCAATTTATAAAATTTGAATATAATATAATATGTAATACAATTAGATATCTAATATGTTCATATTAAAATATATATACTTTTCTCAATGTTAGAATTTCGATTTTGTATAATCAACGCATATTGCAGTACAAAAATTAAGTAAAATTAAAGAATGCACGGCACTGTCGGCGCCGTGTTATTATTGCGCGCGCAGCATCGCCAGCTTGCCTGAATTCGTTGGCTCTGACGACCTGTCAGGAACCGGATATTTTGTAAACAACCGAGCAAAGGGTTAATTAATTTTGCCCACTTTTTTTTCTACTTCCTGCGTTTCTTTGCTATTTTACGTTATCAAGGTCTTTTGTCCATTTATCATAAATTACTTTAAACTATGATTTAATCACAAATCAGATATCCAGCAATAATAGAATTATTTCATTCCGATGTGATAAGGTAATATTCATTAAAATATATCAATGTTGATTCCAAAAACTTATATATAATTTGTTACTGTTTATCATACAATAACTTTTTAGAACTTTGATTCATCTAATTATTGATAAGATAAATAGTAATTAAAAAATTCTGTTAAACATGATAATTTATCTATTAAAATTATTAGTCACGTGATCGTCTAGAACTAAAGAATATGCTTCAAAGACTTATTTCATTTTTTCGAATCATAATTAACTTCTTCTAACTATAAATAAATATAGATTCTGATGCACTTGTCTCACTTTATTATAAATTCATGCAATGTCGTTGTTTATTAATGAGAATGATTTATAATTATATACCCTGTATGATAATTTATATATGTTGAATTATATATTAGTAATTAGTTACAAACTTGTTATTATAAATATATTTGTTAAAATTAAATTATTAAATTAAATTTAATAAATTATTATTAATTGCTATTAGCTATTTAAAATCTTTAAATTCTTAAAGTTTTGTATATTCGAATAAATATCATATGATTCATAAATATATAATATAGAATCATATTGAAAAACATTTATAGTTTACATATACGAATAACTAAATATTAATTTATTTTGAAACGTTATACATTTACCTTATACTCATATTTTATGGTATAAATTTATTATAATAAGTAATTTTTTTAAAGATAAACGAATTAATAATACTAATAATGTACATAATTTAAATTCAGCGGTCATAACCTCTATAAAATGTAGGTGGGAAATTTCATAGGCACGTTGAATACATTAAAATTTTATGGAACTAACCTCTTTTGTGATCAATTAAAGTTATACGCATATATATTTTTAAAGTGTATATTATTTTTATTTAAATATTTAATTTACATAGTTATGAAAATATGTAATCAAACATTAAACATAAATATTAAAAAAGTATTGGTGAAGACACGTGGATGAACTTTATTTTATTACTTAGAAAAAATTTACTAATCTGGTTGTTTAATTAATTTACACAATTTTCCGTGACAATGGCACGCGGTAAAAGACCAATTCGTGGTGGAAAAAGAAAATTCCATCGTTACGATGGTCGACCAAAGCCAAAAAAGAGTAAATTTAACCTAAAAGAGACTTCATATATCAAAGAACGTGATGAAAAAAATAAAGAAATTGAGAAACGTAGGCAAATGTTGGAGGAAGAGAAGTCTCAACAGCAAGAAGAAGAAGAAGAAGAAAGTGATAGTTCTAGTGAAGAACAGAACAATCCATTGCAAAACTTATTATCTTCGTTTTTAAATGCTAATAATCTACAAGTAACTGCTATTGAGTCTACTTCTGAAAGTGATACTGACAATGATAATGAGGAGAATACTGAAGCTTCTGATAATTTATCTACACAGACTAGCAATATGAATGATAAGACAGATTTAGAAAGTGATAATGAAGAAATTATAATAAAAGAAGTTGATGAAGAAGATCCTGAAACATCTCAAGAAGATGCTGGTCACTTAAGAGATCCATTTTCAATTCATTTTCATGATGATTTAAGTGATAAACTTTATGAAGCAGTTTCTACTGTTCCACAAATCGTAAGAATAGAAAAGGTAATATGGCCTGTTTTAGGGAATCTTATATACCAAATACCAAATCCCTTGGAAGATACAAAAGATACAACAAAAATTTCGAACATTTCTATTTTAGAAAATAAACAGTTTGCTAAGTGTGGTACTGTCCCTTTATTAATTGATAATGTCAATTGGAATAAATTATATATAAAATCTCAAATTCATGATAATATTGCAAAAGCAAATTATGCTAATATAAAGGATAACATGAGTACAAATCCATCTCCTATGACTTCTTTGCAGAGGGAGTTATTTTCAATAATAAATAATTATCAAGATTTATATTATCCTGAAAGAACATTTACCAATGCAGATCAAATAAGATTTGTGTATTGTTTGCATGTAATTAATCATGCATTAAAAACACGAACAAAAGTATTGCACCATAATGCAAAAATAACAAAATCAAAATATACAAATATGGCAGAAATTCCAGATGAGTATAGAGATCAAGGTCTGGTAAGACCAAAAATTTTAATAATAGTTCCTTTTAGACATTCATGTTTAAAAATTGTTGAACTATTGATATCTATTTTAATTGGAGAAGATAAAGGTGGCTCTGTAATGAATAAGAAAAGATTTATGGAAGATTTTGGTGGTAACGAATTAAAAATGCCAAAAAGAAATCCAAAACCTGAAGATTATGAATTAACATTTGAAGGAAACACAGACGATACATTCAAAATAGGAATTGCTATTACAAAAAAGACTTTGAAATTATATTCAGAATTTTATTCATCTGACATAATAATTTCATCCTTATTAGGTTTAAGAATTTTAATAGGTGCAGAAGGTGAAGCAGATAGAGATTATGATTTCTTGGCATCGATAGAATTATTAATTCTTGATCAGGTAGAATTGTTTTTAATGCAAAACTGGGATCACATGTTACACGTGTTCAATCATTTACATTTACAACCAAAAGACTTTCATGGAACAGATTTTTCTAGAGTAAGAAGTTGGTCTGTTAATGGATGGAGTAAATATTATAGGCAAACATTGATATTTTCAAGTATTCATGTACCTGAGATTTATGGAATATTTAATAAAAAATGTTATAATTATTCAGGAAAAGTAAAAATAGTAAACCCTGTTTCTTCTGGATCGATTTGTCAAGTAGTTGTACAAGTTCCACAAGTATTTCATAGATTTGAAACCACGAGTCATTCTCATGCCTTGGAATATAGAATGGAATTTTTCCTAACAAAAGTACTTGCTCAGTATAAGGATAGAATAATGAATCATACGTTAATTTTTGTACCATCTTACTTTGATTTTGTGAAATTACGAAATTATTTTAAAAAAGAAGAATATAGCTTTGTACAAATTTGTGAATATTCTAAAGATGCAAAAGTAGCAAGAGCAAGAGACATGTTTTTTCACAGTGATGCACATTTTCTCCTATATTCAGAACGATTTCACTTTTTTCGAAGGATAAGAGTAAAAGGTATAAGACATATTATATTTTATGCACCACCAACTTTCCATCAATTTTACACAGAAATGTGCAACTTAATGCAAGAAGGTAATCAAAATCCACGTTCAGGATCTGAAAGCAATATGACAGTTACCGTTTTATATTGTAAATATGATATTATGCAACTTTCTGCAATTGTGGGTACCGAAAGAGCAAATAAAATGCTTGTATCAGAAAAATCTGTCCATATGCTTATGACTGGTGAATAAGAAATAGGAAGTATGTAAATGTATTTTATACAATTGTATTAATATTAGATGTTGTATATGTAAAAATATAGTACTAAAATCTGCAATTTGTATTAATAATACAAATATTTTTACTAAGATTGTTCCGTTTAATTTTTTTTATTTCTTTAAAAATTAATTAAAATAAATACAGTGTCAATTATTATTACTCGAAACGATTTTGTACACGGAAATCGTTTTACAGAGCCAATCACATAATTTTGCAATATCAAAATTATTTCAATCGTAATTTGATTCAAAAAATACTTCCCTGATATCTTATGATTAGATATATTTAAAATTATTAAATTGTTTTTATCTGTATCAACTAATTTGTTATATTAGCACTAAGAACAAAGCCAAAAAGTTTGATGGTAATATTTTAATAAATTAATTAATCTTAGAATGCATTTTGGTAGATATCTCTTTAGTTTCTGTACTTAAACTAGTTTGTAAATCCTCGGATGTTGTTAGCGGCGTAGCATTCGACGAAGTTTCAACAATTTCTGTTAAAATAGTTAACAAATCCTTTTGTTGCGGAGTGGTTATAATTTCTGATACAGGACTTTGTTCATTCGCGATTGTCATCGACTTTGTTGTCATTCTTTCTATCTGCGTTTCTGAAAAAAAAAAAACAATTAAAAATTTTCCACATTTGAAATGATTTATGCAGTGATTAGCAATTTCAAGATAATGAAATTCCTCATAATAGCACATTTATTGTACGTATATGTATATAAATTAATTAGTTTAGAATCTGGACCAAAAATCGGTTCTATAATAAATAAATAACATTGTAGCAATTCAATGGTTCAAATCCTGTTTTTACCATTTCTAATGGAAGGAGTGGTGAAAGAATTTGATGACTTTATTTCGACACATTCTGGCTGCTTCCTCATTCTGATAGAGACGTCTTTAGGATCCCACAAAAAAGTGTAATACAACGATAACAAAATAGCTGCCATGCTTACAAATATAACATAAGCCACCACTGTCAGTACTCGTACTAATTTTTGTTTATGTTTTGGCTCGTAAAGTTTGTCTTTCCTTTCATCGCCTGCAAATCGAATTTCATTGCCTGCAGGCTTATGTTCGCGATTTCCCAATGTACGACTAATGCTTGCCATTACGTTTTGAGCGCTCATCTTGCGCGGTAACTGCATTCTTGACTTTGTAAAATCATTAAGTTTAAATAACGTTTATATTATAATATTTCAACTTCAATGTAATGTCTCAGTTTTCATTGTATGATCGCCAGAGAAGTGTAACTGTAACCATAACGATTCGATGCGAAGCTTGAAGGGGATATCCAAGGAAACATTGTTCTCTTCGAATCTCACGTATTTATAACTTCCTTGATTGTTTATATTTATAAACGCTTGGTAAACATTGTAAGTTTATTACTGCAAGCCTTGCAGCTCAAATATATCTTCTGTTGACCACCTTTACGTAGAATGTTTCTGCGTTCGACAGGTTACGTATGTCTGCTCGAATGTTTCCATCAATTTTGCACTAATATTTTTGGAATTCATACGTTATCAATATGCAGTCGAATTCACTGTTACCGGTTCTCCAACTTCGTGATTTACAAGTCAATTTAATTTAACACATTTAATTTAAGGGTGTTTGTTCCGGTCGAATACTGCTGGTGTCCGGAATGCTGGTAGGAAACTTTTTGACAATTTATTAAGAAGGGTATAAGATTTCGAATACCGAATATGCAGGAGTTTTCTTTACATTGATGTCTTCACTATTCTACTACTATTTCTGAACTTTGACTAGCGATTCAACGTTTTTCACCAATACAGCTGCTAAAACATACTCGCCCGATGATACCAGCGAGTTTTCACTGCGCAAGTCTGAGAACCTTGACTCGTGCTTCATTTTGCAAGCCTCAAGGGCTGCTCAACTTGACGGGATTCGTGTGGCAAATGTCCTTAGAAAACTGATATAGCAAACAGTCTCAGTTTTATTCAGTTAGCTCATTACTTCTTATTTATTGAAATCTTTCTCGCAGCTTTTTCAAAAGATGTACATTTTTGATGACGTATACATTGATTTTTCAATATCCGAAATATTGCCTCTGATTAGAAGAATTTCTTTTGATTTTATACGTTTAAACAATTTGTTTATGCATAAGAAGTAACAAAGTTCACCGTCAAATGTAAATGAAGTCTTTGTTTAATTTAGGTGTAAAAAAGAATACGAGTGGTATAATACATGGCAAGAATGTTCAATAAGATATAGTTAGATCGAAATCGTCTCGGTTTCGAACCGAAGTGCTTCCATAGAAGTGACAAAGAAACGATTAAAAACGTTACACAAGCATTTTATGTAAGTTCGAACTTATATATCGTTAACACGATTAACGTATTTTTGTCAAAGATGATACATGCATATGTCATGTTGATAACTGTCACTTGGTAAAACATACTGTTCACCTAAATGTAATTATTTCAATAGGGCGGATAAAAGATTACGAATGCTAGGAATAGAGGCTGTTCTGAAAGTCTATAAACTTCAGTCAAAGCTGACAGGGTTTTCACTTTGAGAGTAAAGTGACTTTGACGATGTTCTCGTTTTACAGAGGTGGCGCGCCTTTATTTTAATAGCATTTAAGATGTCGTTCTTCGATCATTCCTCGGACAAACATAGCATTACGATCAGTAATCATTATTCTATGGAAATTGCATATATCGTAAAATAAGTGAAAAGGAAAAATGAAAGATAAATATACTTTTCCCGTATTTAATTTGTCTATATACTTTTCTTTCGAACACATTGCTTTGATATATCGTTCGATGATGTATCGTTTTGATATACGAAGTTGCGAATGAAGTTATTTAAATCAAACGAAGATTAGACAAGTTTGTTCATAGTAATCGTAAGATCTTTATAACGATGCAAAGTTAAAGAAGCCATAATGGCTCGACCTGACCCTGTTTTCGTCATTACGTGGACAATACGGATAATCATCGCAGTCCAATCCATCGACTATCTTCTTTCTAAGGTTTTAATCACGACTTTTCATTATATCACATAGGATATTCTTATCTTTTTCTTTCATCGGCGTACAACTATATATTTACGTGTGTGTGTACATGCTCATGTGTGCGCGCGCACGCGCGTGTAGAAAAATTAGACGATCGGGTTTTTCAATCGAATAAATCACAAAATATACACAATACTATCAAATATCGTATGTAAAAAAGTAAGCCTAATATGCAAGTATAAAATGCAAATTATAGAAAGTTTATTTACCTTTGAATTTTAACGCAACATTTGCCAGTTTTACAGGTGATTGCATTGGTTGTTCAGGATATCCTAGACGACTTGCATATCCCAAATTACCAAAATCTATAGTTGATTGGTCGTTTAAATCGATCTTTTCTTTTACGTTATTAGAATCATGTGCACGATCTTCTCTACTTTTTTGAATATCAAGATTTACTTTATCACTTATAGTCATTACTGTTATAGTAGTATTCATAAATTCTTCATCAGACGAATGCATTTTCGAATATCGAGGTGTTTTAACTTTCACACTTTCTTCATTCAGCGTTCCTGCTTTCGTTTGAAAATTTGATGAAATGCTTTTGTTATATTGTTTTTTATTGACAATAACATTTTCCGTCGAGTTGTGGTTTAATCGAGGAATATCTTGAGGTGGTTCGTACATTGAGTGGTTTCTAATACTCGTAAAATGATCATTATTCTCTTCACTTCCAGAAATATTCGAAGATTCCAGTGTTTGAGATGTGCCATTATTATCCAATATAAGATTCATAATTTTAGAGGAATGTCTTGAATCTCTTTCGCTTGATTTTTTCGTCGAGTTTAACGTTCTCTCTGTTTCGAGTGAAGTATAATTCAAAAAATTGGATGCTTTCCAATTTTCCCCAGAGGAATTTCTTGTAAAAGATTTCGAATTATTAATTTTATTTTGTAAAAGTTCGATTAAAGAGTTTCTTAATAGGAACAATGATTCATTTAATTTTTCACGATGATCTTTTGCCTGATTGTAATCATTGGCAAGATCTTCTGGGCCAGAAATATGATTAGAGAACGAGATATACGAGGTATTGAAATCCTTTGCAGCATCATCTTGAATAGTCATTTGATCACTTAGTAAGAATTGTATTTCAGGTTCGGCAGATAATTGAACAGGTCTCCGTAAAAGCCTTGGATTAGGTGGTTCCCAAAGGAATAAGTAATACGCACTTAAAACGATGGCTACGAAACTTACAGAGAACATGTAAGCCAACACAGTGATTAAACGTATTATTTTCTTGGTTCCTCGATTTTCATAGATATCTGCGCCTGTATCCTTTTTCGGTGCTTCATTACTGCCAGTAGTTCCTTCTTGAGGAACCTCCTCGCTATTTTCCTCTTTGCTCATTGTGATTTCAATTTTAGTGTACCAGTCTTTGAAAAATTATATTCCTCGAATTTCTTTCAATTGTTCGTCCATTTTTTAATCGTTGTTGTTTCTTTTCTCTTCTTTATGAATATTCCTCTTTCGTATCGTTATCATCTTGCAAAAATATGAATTTACATTTCACAGCAAATTTGGGAAGTAATTGCACTGGAAAAGGTTCACATGTACAACCAACTTGAAGTACATTAGCTGATCTTTCGTTGGTATTTTATATTTTTCATGGATTTGTACTTGATTTTGCAACCGATTTCTATTCTTCGTTGTATACGATTTATTTAATCTCGTATTTTTACACGTTTTAGTGAAGTGAAAATAGGAAAAGGAAGAGAATGAATCGTGGGGTGTGCTTCGGTAACGAAAGCACGTAAGACTGCAGTTCTGAACAAACGTTCGTAGAAAAGCTCGTTCCTTCGCCACGTGTTAGAAACACGCGCAAGCGTCCTTAAGTCATTACGTATCGTATATGAGATTATTTTTCGCTCGCAATTTATTAAACGCTTTTAAGTATTTCAATAAGATTCGCAATTTTATTCAAATGTCGTGAATTTTTCTATTTAATTACAAACCCCAAATATCGTTAATTACAACCTGGTTCCAATCGTCAGTGTCTGCTTGAGTTGACAAATCGTAAGAGAACTCGGAATTTTTGTCTTCTTTTTCTAAAATATTCTCCTTTCCCCGTTCGCACTGCAGCATTGTTTTTTCTAGTACTTCAGTTTCTGATAATTTTGATTCTTTGTCTATCCATGTATATATCAAGTTTTCATCCTCTTCTATCTGATCACGTAAGGTATTTCTACTATACTGTGAAGATGATGGTTTCACGTTCTTACAACTACATATTTCTAAAGAAGTATTCACAGCAATTGAATTCTTTTCAAACTGCTTTTTCTCGAATGATTTCACATTACAAGTATCATTTCGAAGTTGCTTCGAAAGGTCCTAAATAAATTTCCAAAAATTTCATTATGATGTCATGCATTATTTATAGGTATCGTTTACAGGCGGGAAATAATTATTAAACCTTAGGAAGCGAATTCGAATACGACGATAAATTATGTGGATTCGATTCTTGAGATTGTCGAGGGTTTTCGTCCATTCTAGAATTTGGTACATACGGTAAATTTGGAACACATTGCTGACTAGTCAAAATTGTAAAAATTTGCGTTAGCAAATCGTTAGATCCTTCGGTACAAGGGATTGGAATTGGAATTGTCGTTTGAGTACTTTGCTGCGCAATTAATGAATTTAATGCCGGCATCAGTATGGGAGCGTAAAGTAATACTGCAAGCCTGCCGAAAAGAAATCGAAACATGAAGATGGCAGAAATTTTAGTCATTATCCTATTATCTATCCGCATACCTCAATAACTGTATGGTAAAGCCATTGGGATCTAAAATAGGATTCCAGCTAGAGGATTGAACCATGGGAGTGTAAGCTGTGTGTACGTTGCTACGCGGAGTTGGAATTTTCTTGTATGTTTCTTTCTTTTGCTTCTTAACGATGCGCGTAAACTGCCTTGATGAATCATTTGTACAACGTGTTCTTTCATAAGGTAACTTCGCGTAATTCGTCCAACAATTACGGTTACTTTGAGATGTTCGACCAACGTCGCAATTATCTTTTCGATTTGCATTTTCAAAGAACTTAATTCTTTTCAACATACACTTTTCGTCGAAATTTGTATTGTATTTAGTTAAATTTGGATTATGAGATGTAGCCTGACCGGAAATATCGTTATTAAACTTTGATCTCGTTATTGGTCGAAAATCTGGGGTATTTACAGCAAGTTTAGTCTGCGCATAATCTTCATGTTTAACATCGAAGTCGGTACAGCACGGTGTTTCCGGTTCGTATTTCTTGTCGATGCTTTGGCATACTTCCATCGATGTCTTTTCATCGCCGATAATTATAATAGTTGTGAACCGTTCGTGAAATAATATAAATTTTATTATTATTATCCCTTTTTTTATTATTACGTTTAACTAGCAGTCAAAGACTTTATTATATAAGTTTGATACCTTTTGTGTTTCAAAAGAACCTAATTGCCTTGTTGAATTACCAAAAATAATTTGTGAGTCACGAAGATCACATTTATCCACATCTTTATGAATATCACTGTTTGCCTAGAAATATGTTAAAGATATCAACCTATATTCAAATATATTTCGAATTACCAAATTTTATCTTGCACTTTGATCGCATATTACTTTAAAATTAGTTTGTTCATGACTCGACAAATTGGTCAATTGGGTTGAATTTTGTGAAAGGATCATAGCAATATTGTGTATCGAACAAACTGCGGTTGAATTATTAGTTAATGTTTTTGATTCAGATCGAAATTCGTTGCTATCGGGCTCTTTCATAGGATAAATATCATTCTGTAAATTCTAAGAAAATGTATTAGAATTTCGGACAAGTTATTTTCACGCTATTTTTATCGATACTTGTTGACTTCCGGGCAAATACCTGTGATAAATTTCTATGTTTAATCCAATTTGAATCAGTTAAGAATTTGTCAACCGAATCTTTATTTCTTTTCGTAGTATAATATTTCTTTTTTGACGAAACGTTCATCTGATCTTGATTCTTTTTGTACTGATTTTTCGAGGAAGTTCCAAGAAAATGTCCATATTTCGTAAGAGAACATTGTTTCCAATTTACATCCGTTTGTGACTATAACATAGTGAAGTTAGATATAAATAGCAATACGTGCAAAATATGAACATTAAACAGTTATTAAAATATCGTTAATTAAAATACCGATTGATGTACAACATTAGTGTTACGAGTTATTATGGGAATCAACATTTTTGCTCTTGTCAATTCCTTTTCCATAATTAGGTATCTTTCTTCCATTTGCCTTATATATTCCAACAAATATCGATTAGGTATATTTCCACGGTTGCTAATGTATAGTTAATATTTTATTGTACATTTCTCCATAACAATTCATTTAATTTACTAGGCTAAATTTTTTGTATGTACTAACGTTCGAAAATAAAGATTATTTGGTTGCCCATGATCGTTGTCTTCGACAAGAATGAAATTTAAATCTAGCATTAGTCCGTCATTCCTTAAAGATGGCACATTTAATACTTCCGCGAATGGTATTCCATTTCTTTGATTTGCGGAAAATTGACGAATAAATTCATTATGTCCGTGATTGCGTTGGTTATCTACAGGTTCCAAAAAAATTTGTCGTCCAAACATACTTGCTAATTTTGTGTAAATAAATTCACAAGAAATTTTGATGAGTTTCAACTATGATAAAAATTATTGTGTACAAATTTTCATTTAGGTTGTGTTCTCCATCGTATGTCTTTTCTTTTCTTTTCTTCATTTTTTTTTTCTTCTGGGAATGTGAGCAGTATGAGCATATTTTATTTTAGAAATTTGAACATTGATCCCAAATTTATCTTTCTCGGTTATTGCTACAAACTATGTGGATTGTTATGAAATAGATATAAATGTTTAAATTTTTTTCGTCCTATAAAAATCTTTTTAAAGCGGTATCAACAAACGATCTATGTTTGAACGCAATTGTATATGACATTTAATGGAATAATACTATATATAAAGATTTAATCCGTGTTTTTAAAATAAAGTTCGACGCTTCCTGTGTATATTTGTTCAGCATCCTCTGATTAATGTCAGTATGCATACAGAAATTTGGTATTCCTGGACTATTGGCGACTGTTTTATCATGCCTTACTTTTATAAACTCATGTTTAATTTTTTTTTTAATAATGTATACTTGTTCTTATTATAGTATCTGAGAATAAACTAAATAATTATTAAATACATACTAAGTATATTTTGTATATATAGTTGTTATTATATTAGATAATATAAATTTGTTTTTTTTTTCCAATTAATTTATTTGAAATTGTTACCCCAAATTTTGTATACAAATTTTATATAACTTTTGTCGTAGACATTTTGATTTTATGTCACGTGTTACTGCTATGATTCGTTGTACGTGAGTTAAATGGTACCTGAAGTCTAAACATTTTCTAACATACGTCATTCTATAAATTAAAAAATTCCGGGTGTGCCTATTCGGAAACCTTGCTATGTGTTTTAATATAATATAACATATTAAATGATGATTTAATCCTAATGACAAGAGGAGTAGTTTTCTTATTTTGTCCCATATTTTTATGCTGAAATGGTCAGTCTTGTCAGAACTTTAAATACATCAGGTAGTGTGAGTATAACAAAAATAACGAAACTCATTGAATTATTGTTCTATTGTATACAATCTTTATTAGCCTTGATATAAGAGTAAACATAACCTTTATGAGCTATTACTATTTACTCTGGGCTATATAATTTATGTTGTATTAACAACATAATTATATTATGAATTTGTACACATGAGTCTCATATACATTGTTTTAAAAATTCATTGGGAAAGTTGTTGTTTATGAGTAATATTTATTAGGGAGCTGTATTTTTTGATTCCTCTTATAATATGGACGATGAAGAGTATCTTCAACCTGTATTAACCTCACAAGAAGAAGAACATTTCCAAACATTAAATACTATACCAATTGTGTCTGTTTCTCTTATATTTGGCGTAAGTGTTAATTTCTTTGAATTATTTAGGGAATTGATTAAACATTTGTCATACAAACTCAAGTTGCTTATTTTAAATTTTAGGTATGTTTAGAAATTACAGGAATTATATTTATATCACTGTGGCCTGAAGAAAAAAATAAATGTGACACATATTTTATATATTTGTACCTTCATTGTGCTTATTGGCTAATAGTCATGTTAACAGATCATTTAGTAAAAGCAAAGCATCGTAAGATACGTATTTATGGTTACTTAGAGTTTTATCGATCAACATATCAACATATAAGAACACCCCTTTTCATAACATCCTTATGGATAACGTGTTATTTGTTATTGGCTGTAATTTTGCACCACAATCATAAAGTTAATTATGAAGAATATTGTCGTACATCAGAATGGTTTAATCCTTTGAATTACATATTTCTCTTAACTACATTGGAACTTATGATCATTACACCAGTTTATATAAATTATATTAGTAAGTACACAAAAATATTGAAGGATCTATAATGTATGAAACTTAAAAAATAATAACTATTTTTTATCTTACAGGAAAAGTTTCAAAATTTAATCGATTACATCCACCAGCCGATGTAGCTAGAGAAGAATGGCGTTCTTCTTTTACTCAAAATTCATTTGCAGGTGGCAGTGAAGTAGGTTACTATCAGAGGGGATATAATGTAGAAGAGTTGCTTGAAAAACAAGCAGATTTAATAAGATGTTTAATAGATCATAATGTTCAGTTAAATCAGGTAGTGATGTTATTAACAATGCGAAACAGAATTCTCCAAGCATCTAGATAAAATGCAAGCATTAAAGAAGCTCTTCGTATAATTTTAAGACTACAACTGAAAGAAACATCTCTATTTTATGTAATTTTATTTGTTACTTTACATATTTGTACGCGCGCATGCGCGTGCCCTCGCGCGTGTATATATATATTTTGTTTTTTCCTCTTTATCTCGTCATATTCATTTTTATTACCATTGATAACTTATTGTACATGCATGTAAAATTTGTACTACTAACATTTAAAATCTTTCTTATATGTATTATTGTATAAAAATTTGACATATTGAATTGAGATTACTAATTTGAAACAATCTTATCTCTAATTATTATTATTGCAATTAAAAGGAATATCATATAAGAAATCAAAAATAATTTCTGTGATAAAAAATCTGTATATATCCAATTCAATAAAGTATATATTTTTTTTTCAATATACAGTACTTATAATTCTAATTACATCTAAATACAATTTACAATACTTATCTTCTAATTTTACACAATATACCTGCTTGCAACATATGAAGTTGGTATAATTAGCTTAGCAGTACCTTCAACGTGTAACATTTATTTTTTAAGAATATACTACAAATGTTATTGTTATAAACTAATATGACAACAAAAGCAGTTACGTATTTACTCTGTATTTTTTTATATGAATTCAAAATATCATTATATTTTTTAATTATTGAGCTGGATAAGTATACATTTGGTACGAAAACTAACCTTAAAAAAATTATTAAATGTGTTTTAGACAGTAAAAAAGACAATAAGATTAATTTTCTTTGTGTTATATGATCTATCTAATATGTTGAAGGATTTTTTTTAGCAATAGCAAGCTCAATATATATCTCAAATATTTCTATTTATATACTTCTTTACATATGTATATATGCATATTTCTTTAAATGCCTAATAAGACCTAATTTATATGAATAAAAACCTGACGCAATGTGCACGTAGAAACAAGAAAGATCGTACTCGTGGTTTGTTCGTATTTATCGCGACATTTAATATTGTATAATATACGGCAAAATAAAATTCTCGATAATAATTTTTGCTTTTACTGTGTAATTATATTATAAGGCTTCTTATAAATGAACACCTTAGACGATGCATCGTATTAAAAAAGAAATCTATTTACAGAAAGTTTACGTGTACCACGGCAGGCTTAATATCCTATGCTATCGTATGTACGTACATATGTTTACGATATATATAAAATTATTTACTTATACGTATGGAACACTCAAATATACAATGCTATAAAATGTAGAAGCTTGTACTTCATCGAGATATACTATATAGTTACGATTACAACGTAGTTTCCCTTGGAAATGAAAATATCCTATAAACGATAGTGTATTGAAAACAGTGCTAAAATCAAAGTTTCTCACTATTCTGATTAGTACTATATGTATGTATCTTGTTCTTTGTTTTTCGAAAGTTTGTACTACACGTTTAGGCCAGCCATTCTTACTGCTTATGTACATCGGATACATTAATCCTGTTGTTTCAAAGTTTAGAGAACGTATGTCGAGTGCTTTTCATTATTGTCTTAAAAAAGAAGTTTCTCAGACTTCGTGATAAACGCAAACCGAGATTATTTTCTCGAATTAATTAATTTTGAACCTTTTTCCCAACTTTCTTTGGAGCAGCGAATAACATAGTCGAGTTTTGCGCGATCATTTTTACTTTTATATTTCTGCTGTTTGCAAATATCAGATATATTTAACAAGTAGGGACAAACGCGAACGCGTTACAGCGTTTCGCATCAAATTATAAGAAGATGTTAGAAATTTGTTCTTTTGTTCATCGAAGAATTATCAATCGCATGACGATTTTCATCATGGTGATCAAATTTTAATTAGATTCTCTAAGATTTAGCAATCACCGATTAAGAATTCTAATTTACAAATTGTTTCATCGTTTTTGTTTTGTACCGCAGATGTTCAAAAATAATCTTAACAAATTTCATTTGATAGAAATTAATCGTTTTTAGATTATAGAAATATGACGATTTAAAAAATAGTTTCCTCTTACATTTCTCACTGTTCTATTTTGCGTTGAACCATAGTATTATCAATATCGCACAAAAGTATTTTTAAATCCGCACAACACTTTTCGGAAAATTTCCAATTTGCTGTTTCACTTAAAGAATCGGCGCGCATCGCAAAGGCGCGGTGGTCCCAATCCTACAATGGTTTTACGCGATTAACGATGGAATCACGCGTGCGTAGCTCCTACTACGTTTCCGGTTGCCGAGAGTTGCTCCTCGGCCTCCATCATCTTTAACTTTCTGACTACTTGAGCATGTTCTTCGAGTAGCCTCGCGAATTCCCCTCTTCTAGTTTCGGCTTCCACTTGCATCTGCTTAATTTTTTCTCTAGGTCCACCTGGACTGTCCAACGGAGTTTGAGATGATGAATTCTGAGAACTGGTTTCGTTCGATAATCCATCTAGATCCGAGTTCTCGCTCGATATCGTATGAGAATCGACGTCGTCCACGATCAAACTGTAAATTAAAGGAAACGTTGGCACAAAATGACATTTCTCACACTTCGTAACTCCACGATTCTTATTTATTACTACGTTTCTCTGGCTACCCGCGTAACTGATTTTATTTTGACAAAAATGACACGATCCGTGCCAAATGAAAATGATAAAGAAAGAACGAGGCATAATAACGATTAAGAAATGAATTTAAATTTTAACTCAAACGTGATATATTTTTGAATAAATTTAATGTCGATAACGTTGACCGTTCATCGTGGTTAATAATAAGCAAGGGTAACAATAGTTAAGAAGTCTATTCTATATTTCGAATTTCGGTTTTAAAAGTATAGCAAGTTTGGCCGCTAAGGGGAATGTGATTTTCGTAGTTGGTCTAAACTATCGACGTTCTGCCCTGCAGCATTCTAGTGGCAACAATTGTCGCTTGCGTCAATGTTACGTCATTGGTACTGAAGCACGTAGTCTAGGCTATGGATAACGAATTGATTTTACGTAAAATACCGTATTAGAATATCAAAAATATTTCGATGATATTTGAAAAGGACGCTATATATGCGGAATTTTTTCTTAGAAAAGAAAGCTCCCGGTCGAATTATGTCCGAAAAGCATTGAATTTAGAAGAGAAATAAAAGAGGAAGAGATAAAGCAGAGAATCTTCTCATTTGCGTGATGGTCTACAATGCTGGCTGAATGCCGGCTACGATGTTAACAGTTTTAAAAGAAATACGACAATGTTCTTAGTGTTCAAACATCGTTATCAATTTACAAATCTGATGCGAAGATGAAATAACTGAAACGATGAAATACGTTTCGTATGATCAGTCAGATGATCATGATGGCCACACTGTTCGACGCCATCGACTACTCGCGTTGATTATTTTGGTAAAACGACTATGGAAAGGTCGTATCGGAATTTTACTCCCACGAAAAGTCTGGAAATAACAGGCTTTCGATTGCGCGTTTGGAAATGCGTGTATGATTTAGTCAGGATAACCGAATCTATTCCTAGATACGTTGCGATCAGGGACTAACATTGACTGGGCTGCCTTTTTTCACTTTCATTATGTAATTTTTTCTGCTTTTCAGCACGCGACATTCGCTCAAACCTACTCAATTTGGTAATATATTATATGAAAGAAAATATTTTTGACAAAAATTTATCACCGCTTACCTAAATGCACCGTAAATTTCTCTTCCCGATGCCATCGTCACTGCGATATCAGGCAACGATCCTGAAACAAAAAGTTCTATATGTCTATGACGTAAATTCGTTAATTCCGATGGAAAGTCTTTTATACGTTCAATTCCATCAATCGAACGCGTAATCGGATAAAGATCTGCGATAGTTTCATGGATAACGCAATTTGTAATGACGTTGAATATTTTTTAAGGATCGTTTCTCTCATCGAATCGCGAGGAGTTCGATTCAAATTCCTATCATTCGATGATTGCATCGAGCTTCTATGTTGAGCTAAGAATATTATCGAATACTATTTAATTTTAACGCTGTACACTGTGTTCCATTCAGTTTGCCAGACGGTAAAGTTCTCGTCCGTTCGAAGCGAAGATGTTAAGATCGGTAGATGATTTATGAGCATTTTGGCAATCGAGCGAAGATTATTACACTGACTCAATTGTCCAGAGATTTGTAATCGTGTTATACCATGGCACGCGTCTCTGGCAAGGACACGATGCGTGAAAGAAGCCTCATTTATTTCAAGACAACGAGTATACATATCGGAAAGTACCACTGTTCATGCTCGATATGACATAAGACAACGCTTGTCTCATAAATCTCTGGGAATTGTCAACGAATGATAATTTCGCCTCTAATGTTACAGAAAATGTAACGGTGGTCACTTAATTCGTATTCCGAGAGCTCCGCTCTTCATTTTTCGCAAAAAGTAACAATTCTTTGACGGAAACGCACTCGCTTTTCCTCGTGATAGAAAGTAGCTCGAAAATATCTCTTCTGGCATTAACATTGACAAGCCATCATCTTCGTTTATCATTTATAAAGGTGACTACGCGATTTCCAGTGATTTTCTTATGTAAATTACATTGCTTCGCTTTATTTAACGAGAATCGATTGGCGTACTACCACTGTATCAGGTTAGCTATTATAAGGTAAGCGGGAAAATCCCAGAGAGCATTTTTTCCTTTTAGAAATGTACGAAATAAACGGAAGTTACAGCTTGGACAAAAATATTATTTGCCATAATAGCCAACTGTCTCGTGTATGGACGACACTATCTTGTGTATGCAAATTTATCTGATGGAAGCGGACCAAATCCGGTGCATTTACACGTGCACGTTCCTCACGTCACATCCTACGTCACGAACCACGCGAATTTCAATTATACTTTCTTGAATACATTTCGCCCTTGCTACTAATAGCGACATTTAACGATTGCACGAGATACCGGAGAGCGCGAGTGGCGAAAAAAGCTACGTTTCCTATATCTGCTTTCCAACAGATCGCAATTATCGACGAATCGTGCGAATCCGCCAAAATGATCGGTGATGTATAGAGAATACGTTCTCTATATACCCGCGGATCTTTCTAAAATAGAATCACGAACGCGAATCCGGCGAGATTGGAATCTTAGCCCCATAGAGCAAAGCTTGCGGCTGTACCGTTGATAAAATGACGAATTAAGCACCACGTGAATCAAGTATCTGCTATTCCAGCATCGAGATCCTAACGCGTAATCACCTTGGAGACAGATTTCATCAACGACGCTACACAGTTCCGCACAGAGGGTGTAAATCGCGATGGAGGAGGTAGACGAGGAAGGAACAACTTGGGGATACTCGTCTAACCCTGCACATGTTCGATTATGTATATATAAAAGAGGACGGCTAAGAAATGGCTAAATACACGATTCTAGGAGCAATGTAGAGGGAACACTCTTTATTCGGTAGAAAGCTAAGAATCGACCTTCGTAACTACACTGGAAAGAGGATCGAGCTCGAGCGAGGAGTGCTTCGCGACCTTAGACAATGCGACCTGTACACGAAATATCCACGAACCGTGACCACTTCTGCGTGCTAAACGAAGAGAAACAAAGAAGGTAAGAAAGTCACGAGCCGACAGAGAGGAAAGTATCCTCTTGTATTATTATACCGGATAAACGTCAATGCCGTTTAGAGCCAGTTGTAACGTTTCTACTCGAGATTCCTGTGTCGATTTCAAGCTGAACATTTTCATAACGGCCTGTCAAAAGCACTTCCCTCTAATTGCATGCTGGAATCCTCGTTTTAAATGTACGCGCGAAATACGTTAGTATTCGAAGCATGGCTGCGAGTGCCAGTTTCGAATGGCAGACCTCGTTCCCTTCGCCGTTTGTTTTTTCAAATAAATTTCAAACGAACGGGAATTTCGATCGGACGAAACAGCCGAGTAACGAAGCTCTTATTTCACGTCAGAGCGGTATCCGAGGACAGTAGGAAATTTCGTTTAGAAATAAGAAAGGAAGAAATGCGACCGCTTACCTCTGACCATCTGTGCTCGAAAGTTTCCGCTGTATCAGTGGTTCTTCTCGATTCTTCTCGATCGAAGCAAGGTTCAGTAGCGACGGTTTCACGAGTTTCCTTGGTTGAACAATGAACGGTGCGAGGACGAACAAAAGATCCGTAAGAAAATGGTCGTTTCAGTGCGTGGAACAAGCGAACGCATCCGAGATGGCGACGAACACGACGTTCACTACTCGAAAGACTCGCGCAGACTGATCTGTCCGGCCTCTATTGCCGCGCTACAACCTCAACTGCAGGTTACCGCTTCACCGGAGAAGGGGGATGCAACCGACAAATTTTATTTCATGCCACCCCACCTTTCCCTTTTTGTCTACCTTCTTCTTTCATATATTTCACAAGCACTCGATTCAATTTTGCTCGAAAATATCCGTGTCATCGATCGAACCTCGAAGGGATGGGTGACTATAATTGATATTTTGATCAAATAGCTAAATGCGAAAGAACACCGACATTTCCGGGTTAGGGAGGTATCGAATTTTTGCATAGAAACTACGAATCGACGTAATCGATCGACGTGGTGACTCGTAAAACTGGCCTTTATTTCTATTTCTATACATTTCGTTTTTAACTCCGTTCATCTATTTTTAAACCGATTGCTCTTCATTGTCGTTAAATGATTTCATAAAGCATCGTAGAGCATTCGTGCACGGGCAATTAATAATTGTCTGTAATTGTTTTTCTTCGCGATTCTATTCGTTAACGCTGCGTCGAAGCAAAAGCCAGCGAAGGAGAAAGCAATTTACGATAGAAAATTGGATTGTACTCGGGGGAAACCGGTCGGACGGAAAAACCTTTTTGAAATGACAGACCTACCCGAAGAAAAATGACGACTATTCGAATCGATGATTCTCAGAAGCGGATATTGGCCGCTTATTTAACTAACAGATGAATCATTCGTAATGACGTTCGTACTTCTCTCTGAATTTCGATGTATATCTTCTGCGTAATAAGCTTGCACTTTGCACGTATAACCGAAAGACAAAAGGATGGTCGAGTGTTCAGATATATCGGGGAAAGAGAAAGAGTGGGGAAAAAAGATGCTCGAAGAAACAAAGATTTTACGAGCAATTGAAGCTACCTATCGAATAAATTCACGCTCTTCCCCGACGCGTCGATGTTTATCACTCGCACCAACTTGAAACTACTGTAGCCGTTGTTTCCGTATTAGCGGTAATAAATTTTTAAATTGCAAGTTCTCAGCGATAACACGAGCGACCCGTTTATTAGCCGATGCTCGCGATGCCGCACGATTTCCGATCGTTTACCAGACCAACATTTTATGCGTGTATTTCGAACGAGGGATCTGCGATTTGCGCGAAATTACGCGCGCGAAGAAGCGTCCGGGTGATAACGGGCGCGGATGTGCCAGGAACGCGAGCAAACTATGTCGGATTTCAGGGTCACCGCGAAACGAAGACCATACAACTCTTCGGGGAGTCTGGTGGTAAATTATTTCGGTTGGTCGCTAATTTTGTCGCGGTATGCCATACCGCGCAGAGAGCGCGGTGGTTAACCATCGCCACGTAGAGCGAAACTTACTTCTCTGTGTCCTTCCACACGTATCTCCCCGTTCTTTTCTTTCTCCTCTCGCATCCTCCTTTTCTGCCTCTTTATCTCGGCTCTTTCGAGAACATTTGCTCCTCGATTGACTCCCTATTTTCGCTTGTTAAAGTCAACTTACCAGCCGCAGCCAACATTCCTCGAGAGGCTGAGAAAAGCTTGCCGTGTCAATGAGACGCCAACTACCCTGAGAAACATGGAAATTCCTGCCGGAAGTCGGTAGGAGGCAGGTGGAAATTCTCCTGACATTTCGGTGCTAGTTTCCTTCGCGATAATCCTTTCCTCTACTCCTCTTGTCGATTGTCATTTAAAAGACACGTTGTGTCTCGACGCAAAAATATACTAAAGACCAATCGGTTTTTGGATCGAAGGAGGGTTCGATCCGATCGATAAAAGGGCTAATCGCGCGAAGAGCAAGAAACCAAATTGCGACGGTTATCTGAATCGTGAGCCACGCCGTAGAATCGTGAGTAGTTAACCAATGCAATGTGCGTCAGTGATAATGATCGACGAATACATATCTATACGTTTGTACGTCAAATCTGAAACGGATCGAGAAGAAATTGTGCGATTATGTCTTCGCTAAAGATGAAAACTGTCTCCGAGATAAGTACGTGCGTCAATACTGATATTGTATCTTATCGAGCGCTCCCGTTTTTGCATAGATCGTAATCTTTGATCGCCGCGAAGAATTCACGTTAGCTTTTCGATTCCTTCCTCGGCAGTATTTTTATTCGATTTTTATTTCGAGTTTCCGTTCATTTTCGTCCCACGATAGATCCACGAATGCCTCGAAAGGTGAAATTGAAAAATCCGTCGACGCCATTTTCACTCTCGAATGTGCAAGAACGTGGTTCTTCGTCGAGGCCAGTTTCGGTATTATTGAAAATTGTTCAACGGGAAGAACACTGCTCTCTCTGCTTTGAGATTATGCAATCGTAGAGTCGCGAATCTATCGATTTGTTTGGGACGAAAATGTTTGCCATGGAGTATTAGTCGAATGAAAAGGGACTAAGACCTTCGTTCGTTACGAGACCTTGGATTCGGAGCCTGACTCAACGCACCAGACATTTGATATCGAGGTTAAATATTCCTCTCCAGTCGAGAGAGGAAAAAAAGGAACAGTTTGTTTCTGTTAGGAAAAATTGCGAGGGCGTCGAGGGATTCCATGCATGCCGAATCCAGTTAATAAATCCGAATTTCTTCATCCGGCAGTCCACCCATTCGTCTATTCTAATCACTAGAATTCGCTTTTCCTCGAATCGAAATTCTTTTTTCGATCAGCTTTCCCTATCGGTCTGCTTTCCGCGCAAACCGCGATATAAATAGTCTCATGGCCGTAATACAAATGGAACTTTTTGCATCGCGATCAAGTTCGGATTTGTCTCTTTATTTGAGGCGATGGAGGCAGGCAAATATTTGCACTGTTTATCAATGAGCTTGCTGCAAGATCGGCGAAACATTTCGAAACGCAGGCAACGATTATACCGTGCAATATAAATATTTTTTAGGAAAGAATAAGTACGTATGCATGAAAATCTTTTCCGGCAGATTGGAACGTCCGGTCATGCCGCGACGTACGCTGAAAGTCTATAAGCTGCTGAAGAGTATTTTTGTCCGTGGATATTATCGATTGCATATACCCCTGATTCGTTCTCCTTTTCTCTCGCACACGGAACGTATAATTCGAACATATAGATTCTTCTCTTTATTTTATTTTTTCCACCTACGTATAAGTTCT